TAGTAACTAAGCTATATTTCAGTCTAAAAAAATATGAAATTCTAAGCAGACTAAAGACACAACCTACGTTCTTGAAGGTATAATACTAAAATTTGAATTATAATCAAAAGTTTGAAAGCAAACTTATTGACATAAATTCATGAAAAAGTAGTTCAATAAAATTTTGAATGCGAGTCAATAAATGCGATGACATGGCCTTTCACCTGTAACCTGTGTGAAAAGGGTTAATTAAATAAAAAATTTTTTTTTCTAGCCCTAGATTGTTGAGGCTTAACTGTCCTCGACAGTCTAGGCTAGAAAAAAAAAGATTGGGTAAGTATTTTATTTCTTGTTTTTCATATTTATTCTTTATTTATTATTATAAAAGTAACTAAAATCTAAAAATATGGATCTTTTTTCCTTGTGAACCATTTTAATTATATTATTATTATTACTTATTTTACCTAATCTAGTCTTAAATAACTTCATGCACGCGAGCTGCATGTTCCCCAAGTGATTTAGTAGTTAGACAAGGTTCAAAGGGCAATAAAACAATAACATTTAATTATAAATAGATGTATAATGTTACAAACTTAGAGCTACTTAGGATAAATGAATGTAGTTTCATGTTACAATTTGAAGTCATTCTAGAAAGAAAAAAAAGTTAATTTAGGTTTATTTCAATTTTTTTTTGTGCGTATGAGGTCAATCGAATTGACCAATCACAATTTGAGATAGGATAGAGAAAATAACAGATAAACTATAAAGTTTTACTAAAAAAAATTAAATTCATTTAGGAGGTTTTAGGGATTACATAAAGGAAATTTGAGATGATAAAACGTATTTTTAATTTTAACATGAAAATTACTTTGCCCACGCACTATTCAAAACAAATACTTGATATATTCATGGACGAATCATTTTTTTTTTAAATACTTCACTAATAAATATGAGTTTTTATATGTGAAAGACTTGTAATATTAACTGACAGCTTGCCAAATTTTGTGGAAGATATACCCAATATATAGAGAGTTATAAGAATTAAATTTGTAAAGACTAAACGAGTACCAAAGGTCACGTGACTCAGCCAAATTGACCAACTCGGTGTTGAGAGAGTTAAAGTACTTTAGTATCATGGTATACTATGTACATTGCCAGCTAATGTGGTTAAGAGTGAACTGCTGCTAGAGATTTTTAATAGTGTATGGATAATGTGCCATGAAAACTGCAGTTTAAGTATTTTTTTAAATGTTTCCTTTGAAACAAAAGAATTATAACTTAGATAACATAAACATTAAAATTATAACATATATTGATAGTACAGTAGTTTAATTAAATTTTGAATGTAGTGCAGTACCATATGCAGAAAGGAATTTAAAAATGATACTGACAGCCATATGGTTAAAAGTACCTACAACTAACTTGTGGGGTACTCTGGTAGATGGAATTTGACTGCCACTTTGATAATGTATCCACAGCTTACAAGTATAGGGAATAATTTGTAGGTCTGAGCTTGATTTGAACTTAGTTCCACCAGATCCAAAGTCTAGTGTCACTCTCTACTATATTATGAAATTTGTTTAAAAATGTTATGACTTTATAGCTAAATGAACTTGCTATTGATTACTGTTATAACCTTCAGGGAAGAAATGCTTTATTGCTTCCATTTCTATTATTCATTCTGACAACTTTATTTGTCAAAATGTGGCTGAAGATCCTCCTGATACACTTTAACAGTTACTCCTCTTATATTGCTGATGTGGTTGATCTATGCATAAACAGATTAGAATAAGTAATATTTGGTTTTTACACTTAAGTGTACTTAAATACAAATACTTTATTCAGCTAAAATTGTATCAACTATAAAATACATCTTATAATATAAAGTAATAAACATGTTTTGTAAAAAACACTGGCTTAGTTTTAAAATTTAAGTTTATCATCTTCAGTCTTCAAGTGGCTCACAGTGCATTCTTGGCTTCTGAAATTATCCAAAACCACTTCAAGGCTCACCAAGTCTTTATTCTTAAAGTGAAGTTGATATCTTCAGGCAATTCTGATAACTAGTTAATCAGCCCAGAAGTTCTTAGCAGCTGGTCTGGTTTTACTGATTGTTGTGCTTGAGCATCATAAATCACTATTACTGAGCCATTTGATATACTCAGTCTCTAGGAGGACAAATCTCCCAAAGGCTAAAACAGGAATGAAAACAAATTTATAATTTCAAATAAATTAGACTGACAGCCTTTGAGCATACTTTCAATAAAACTGAAAAGTAAAATAACACTAGCATTTCTGCATGCACAATAATTTACTTGTATGAAGGTAAAGGAAAAAAAAAACATGCTACTCGTATACTGTGGCCTTATGAAAAATGTGAGGTATAATATGTGTAACATCTAGTAATAGCAAATCACATTTATTCAGACCATGGCAAGAAGTTTTCTACACTAAAATAAAGTTATATTGACAGGAACTTGCTAGACACTACTTTCATGAATAATGTTAATGAATGAATAGGTCATATAAAAAAATTATGAAATATAACTATCAGCAAAGTTTTCATGATGATTTAAGTAAATATATATATATATAAAATTTTATTCCTATTTTAAACTTAAGTCAGCGTGGCACAATATTTCACTTTCACACATCTATAAGGTACTATTACATACATGTGCAAAGGTTCAAAACCAGTTCCACATGCATACAAAAAGTAACTCTTATGCTGTTTTATAACAGTTGACAAAATTTTCAGGACATAGTTCAGCTTATGTGGATAATGTCGTCATAACTGTGAGCTAACAGCGCATACCAAACATAAACATTATGGAAATGTTTGTTTGCTAGCTGGAAAGGCAATATGTTTTCTATGGTATCATACTACTAATGAAATTCCAAACATTGTTGAAATGTACTTCTGATATCATTCCACTGTGACTTTATATCAGCTGCAGTTGTCATATGACCTTGCTGATGTGCTTATTCAAAATTGTTTTAATGCAACTTACTCAGCCCTGTATGAATCATATATAAATGCATATATACAGTAGAATTGTAGACTTGAAACATGCTATCAATAAATCTGTTTGGCAGCTGAGTTATTCCAAACTCTCAAATTTCTTTAAACACTTTTAAATCACAGGCCATTTATATTCATTACGTGATACGTACTTGTCAGGTAACTACAACAAAAGATCATTTTCATTCTGCATAAACACTTCTTCTCTGACCATTGTTTTATTGATTTAATGTCTATCAACGAGAAACCGATTTATTATCTATTTCGAAATTAATATTTTGAACCCGACAAAGTGTGCTAATTGAAAAAACAATTTAGTCTCTGGAAATAGCGTTGTATGACAAGATAGTTTTTAGTTTCTTATTAGGTCTTAACTCGAAATATCTAAATTTTGTATTAAAGTTAAGCACACACGTTTTTTGTTTTTCCCTTATGTTCACAGTATTATATTTTTCAGATAGCACACAAAAATTAACCTACTAGGTTGTAAACAAATGAAATTTGCTCAATAAATATTATTAGAGTGAAATTCTGTCATTTTCCTGATGACCTTTTAACTCTCTGTACACGAGCTTGACCTACCACATGACTTTTTTTGTACTCGTATTTAATCTTTACAGATTTGATACTACTAACTTTTAATACAGTGTGTATATCTTCACAAATATTGGAATCTTTCAGTAAACATTATAATCCTTTCACACACAAAAAATCTTATTTTTGAATGGAGTAGTTTTAATAAACTAAAAAATATTTCTCCTTGAATATATCAAGTATTTGTTTTGGATAGTCTGTGTGAAAAGTGATTTTCATGTTAAGATTAAAAATACTTCCTCTCAAAAATCTCAAATTTCATTTGTGTAATCTCTAACACTTCCTCAATACATTTCAAATGTTTGTTTTCAGTAAAACTTTATATTTTATCTGTTATTTTCTCCATTCTAACTCTATACAAGCTTGATCAATTTGACTTACCTTTTAACCCCCAAAAAAATGTTTAATAAATCTAAATTATCTTCCTTTTCTTTCTAGAATGACTTCAAATATAGCATGAAACTACATTTGTTTATCCTAAGTCTATTTATAATTAAATTTTATTGTTTTATTGCCCTTTGAATCTTGTCTAACTACTACTTCCACCATTATAAGTTGTAAATCACTTGGGGAACATGCAGCTCGCGTTACACTATCAAATTACATTACCCGTGAGCTGCTCCTGTGAGTGCCTCATGAAATAATTTAATTATATCATTATTATTATTTATTTTACCTAATCTAACCTTACTATTATAATAATAATAAATAAAGAATAAACATGAAAAACAAGAAATAAAGTACTTACCTAATCTTTTTTTTTCTTGCTGTCAATTGTCAGTGATATTTAACCCTATTTTTTTATACTAATGGTAGTATTGCACTAAATAATTTATATTTAATTAAATAATGCACCAAACAACATTGACTAATAACATGCAAAAAGTAGACAATTTCCCCTAACTCTCAAAATGTTTCTGGCTTTCTAAGTATGCAACAACAGCCATTACAAATTCATCCAAACTAGTCAATAGCTTTCCCTCAGGAACGAAGCTTGTAATCTGAGATTGACGACTTTCTGTTCAGAACACAATGTTATACAATACATCTTTTGATAGATGGAAACCTTGACTTTCTATTGGTTATAGGTAATATATAATGAAACGTAAGAGAGAACTATCAATGAACTGTGAAAGAGAGGATGTGACAGGTGGGTGTGGCAGGAAGGGTCTGATTTTCTATTTGATAGCTCTGTAACTAAACAAAATTGAAGGCTATAAAAATTATGGTTTGTCTGAGCAGTAACGATTTTATAGTGAGTAATTTATGTTGAATTTTGTACTTTTTGGAGGGGTGATGAATAAAATAGAGACGATACTTAGAGAAAATGTGTCACACTAGGGGAAACTCAGGATTTTTTTAAATATTTCCTTATAGAACTAAGAACTTGTATACTATTAAAATATGGATTATTAGTGAAGATTTTATGCTATAGTAATTGGTATAACATAAACAAAAAGTAGTTTGATAAAATTTTAAATGTAAGACACTAAAACCTTGTGTCATGCACAGTAAAGGATACCCATGATGACAGAGTTAATTATCCTTGTATTTTTAAATGTTTCATGCTATAGCTGTGTTCATTTGATATTAATGTATGTTAAATAGGGAGATAATATAGATATAAATGTACATTCTACTTAAAGTATGCCTGTAAAATTATTTTGAAGTATGAAAAACTAATTTAGAGTTGTTGTTTTTTCTATATTCCAATTGTAAAAATATATTAAGTTAAAATATTAAATATGCCATAATCACACAGATGTCGACTCATTCTACATTAACTTGGATATAATAACAGATTTTTCAAGATCTAAGTATAAGGGAAAAGCTTTTCATCCTTGACTGATTGTTTAGGAATATCGTAGCAATAACAAAAACTTAACAGTTGCTTATTCCTTTAGGTGGGGAGACCTAGTAACATGCCCCAGGCTGCACCAATTATCGAAAAGATAGTGAGTGAAGCTAAAGTATTCAATCGTATATTCATTGCTTCTGTGCACCAAGACCTTATGGAACAAGATATTCAAAGGTAATTTCATCATCCATGTTGTTTTGTCCTTCATGAATAACATATAGTTCTGTGGTTCTCAAATTTTTAGTGTATGTGAACAGAATACTTTCAAAGGAATATATAATACACAGTTTAGTATAATGATTGGAAGGAACATGCTTAGTTGTTGCATTTAGTTTATTTGATGCAACACTTGAAAATTTACAATCAACTAAAAGAACAGATCATCTTTTATGGTTTAAATTCTTCATATTTTTTATTTGATTCTGTTGATGTTATGCATTAAATCTGGTAGTAAACATTTTTTTTTCAATGAAAACAAAACGAGCTTTTAAAACCAGAAATAGACTTAATGGAATAATTTCATCTAAAGATGTATTTGTTGAGAAAGATTCTTTATTGTAATTATAATTTTTATAAAATGGATGATAATCAAAAACTAATTATGATTGTATGTGCTGTTATTGGCAACTATCAGTATAATTGTACAATTACTTTTACATAACTTAGGAAGACTATACAAGATTCCATAATGACACAAATTTGATTATATATTTCTGTAATTAAAGTGTGTTTCTAAGCATATCTGGTAACTATGTAATCTAAAACTTTGTATAACAGTGTAGTGTTGTGATAAAACAACAACTTGGATATGTATCGTCAGACAAAATCATTCAGACATTTGTTTTATAACCTTTTTTTGGTTAAAACATCAATTCCTTCATCATGTTATAGAATAACAGCATGTTTAAGAAAGTTTAAATGCCAATCTTTTTTTTTCTTTTTTGTCTTTAGAAAGATTACTCAGGCTAATTTTAGTTGTATAAGAAAAAATAAAAAATGCAAAGTTATATATTTCATTATTTTGTTATTAAAACTTCTGCCATCTAGTGAATAGTGAATCACTAACTACCCAGATAGGAAATAACAAAGATAAATTACAATTTGTAGCCAGTGTTGAGCTTCAGATGATCATCTCAGTGTTTTTTATATGCCACTTAACTCTTTAGTTTAGAAGTTTCAATAAGCTATAAACCTTTATCTGTGTTCATCTTTGTTAAATAATTTTTATTCTGTTTTTGCAATGTCATGTTTAGTATATGAAATCCAAAACACACACAAATTTTCAATTCCTTTATTATTTTTTTAAAACTATCTTTCCAATTTCTGTATTAAATTGTTGTTTATTTATTGAAGATATAATTTATTGCATTTTAAATTGCAAATAGAGTTTGATGAATAAAAACACTGATGCAGTTACTAAGAAAATATTTTTGATTTTTTTTTTTTAGTGTATTTGAAGCCTTTGGTAAAATAAGGTCATGCAAGTTGGTGCCTGGAAGCATTCCTGGTAAACACAAGTAAGGATTTTTTTTATCATTAGTTTTTTCTTTTATATAATAATAATAAAGTTGGTCAATTTGATGAACCTTTGAACTGTGAAACTTTATATACTACAACTCTGAAATTACTACATGCATCTTTATGATATTTAGTAAGCTTTCAATAAACATTAAGACTGTTGTACACAAAAAATAAAAATTTTTTAAGTGAATTATTATTAAGCAAACCAGTAAAGGAGGCTCAAATTTTAGATTATTGCTTGCAATTATTTATAGATTGTGCTTATAATTTCTTGAAAACTGATGCAGCCTATTTTAGAAGTTAGAAATTTCTGAAGAGGAGAAATCGGAGATTAGACATATTGCATAACACTGAATAAATGAAGATTAAGATTTTCAAAATATTTCTAGTTGAAATTAAGAAGTAAAATTTTAATAACATTATAAATTGTTGTTTCATGCCAAGTTTATTGACATATATTGATAATAAAATTTAATTAAATTTGGAATGTAACACTAAAATGTCATTACATGTGCATGTTGACCCAATTGTATGGAAATGTGATAGACAAGTTTAGGTGTGATTTAATATTAAAAATTATAATTGATAGGTTCTTGAAATTGGGAAATTTTTTATTTGTGACATTTTGGTTTGTATTCTCTTTTATATGGCTCCTATATTCCAGAGTTTAACTTCCCTAACAGATAATGCAAAATATTTTTACTTAGAGGAATAGTTGCACAGTACCTGCCCTTGTGACATGGGTAATTGAAGCTAAGAGTAGTGATTTTCTCAAAAATTTATCTATTCACATAATTACCTCTGCCACTGAAGGTAGATAGAGGATATGTGTCTACCCATGTGTGTGTGTGTGTCAGCAGGATTTCTCAAAAACAGCTGAATGAATATGGAAGAAAGCTGGTATGCATTTCACCCAACTTAGAAGTGGTTAGTTTTTGGAGTGTCAAGGTCACAAAAATAAAAAATCTGTATCTGTTAACATAGTGACTGATTTTTCACACTTTTTTTGCTCTATAACTCAGTCAAAAATGATTGAATGTGATGAAACTTTATATACATATGTAGAATATTTTTCCTCATTGTTCTGCAAAAAATGGTCTGTGTCCACTGATAACGTCGAACATATGGACACATTTTCATATAAACTTAGTATTTTGACTTCACAAACATCTAATTTGAATCAGTGCTGCATTCAACATACCACATGACACACAAAGATCGCTGTTTAGGATTTTTTTATATTTACTTTTAAATTAAGAAATTAATTAATGTAAAATACTAAAATTTCAATTATAATCTACAGTTTGATACCACACTTATTGACATAAATTCATGAAATAGTAGTTCAGTACAATTTTGAATGCAAGTCAACAAACGAGATGACATGGCCTTTCACCTGTGACCCGTATTGAAATGGTTAACAATGTTACTGTTTACTTGTTCTTTGTTGACATTATGAGAAAAACATACTGGAGATTTTGGCGAACCCTATGAGCATGGGTGGGTCAAAGTGTGCATGTCATGACCTTTTTACAGAGTTGAATGAAAAATTTAATTAAACAACTTTATTTTCAGTGTATGTCAATAAACTTGACATCAAAACATAGTTTATGCTTCAAATGTTAATATTAGTTTTAATTTGTTAATTTAAAAATGAAATATTTAAATAAATTTTCAATCTTCATTTCCCTGTATCAGGACTTTTTTTTTTCCTCTGAACTGCAAATTTTAGATCTCTTTTTTACTCCTATATGATCTTATGAGTATGCCATCAATTTACACATTTATTCTATAGGTGTTTCTCAGCCATCATGTAATTTTATAGCCTCCAAGCTTCTTTCTTTACTGAGATATAAATAAGAAAGTCAAATTCACATGCCATGCCACTACTATTTCATCCTGTTTTTCAAGAAATGTTAATAAACCCTTTTTACATTTGTTGTTGAATTATTTATAACCAACAGAAAAAGCAGTTTGTTCAGGTGCCAGGCTATAAAATGTTTAGCCTCTGTTCATTGTTTGTCTTTTTGATGTTGAGCTTAACTAGCTAATGGAATTTTTTAAATCCATTTATAGCTTAGATAGGAAGCCAATTAACTTATTTTTAGGACATTCTATTTTTAGTTCATGATAACGTTTTGTGTTATGAATTGTATATTTGAAATAAAAATTATTATATTGGCTCATCAATGTCATTACAAAAATATAGGCCTACAGTGATTCATTAGTTTACAACAAAACCCCTGAATGCCAGACATAAGTATTAAATTTCTTGTTTTTTATGTATATTTTTTATTTATTGTTATAAAAGTGACTAAAATGTAAAAACTAGAAAGTTATTAGGTTAGATAAGAAAAGTTAAATGAAAAAGAGTAAATAAAATTTTTCATGATACTCAATATCATAATGTGTACATCATGTGGCAAGATTGTAATTTGATTATGAAATGCTTGTAATTACTAAAGTTAGTAAAGGAGTCAAATCATCAGTGTAAATAGGAAAAAATATGATGATGATGGTTTGAATTTAATTCTGAATGATGAATCTAATTTCTTGGCTCAAAAAGATCCTATGAATGGTTACCCAGAGGTATGTCAAGACTTGTAATAATTTCACAAATAATGAGATAAAAGATGTTAATACCAACATGATGTGACTTTTACAAACTATATGCATTACCAAAGTTAAATAAATAAAAGACATTCTTTGTAGATCAGTTGTTTCTGTGATTGAATATTCTACCTATTTAGGTTCATAAACATGTATCTCTTCTTGCTTAATGACTTTAAACTGTCCATCTATTGATGTTATTTCATTAAGTAAACACTGTGATGGTCAGTTGGTTTCCCTTTCACATCTTTAAAATAAATTTTTTTGCTTACTTTTGAAACTACTGCTTTGTGTTTGGCTGAATTTAAATTAGAAATATGATTTAATATGTTATGTTGGTGATACCTGTGTTACATGATGGCATAGAAGTGAATGATATTTCTTATTGAATGAAAATTTAAATGGGTTTTCAAGAACTACAAATGTGTATCTTTAAATTATTATTGTTTCCAGACCATTACATGAAAGATTCTGTACCCTCAATCTATATTGTTAATCCAGCTCTAAACATTTGTTTTGATCATTTGGATTTTGTTTGAAATTGAATTATCCTAAAGGTCTTGCCATTGATTGGAAATGTTTACTATACATTATTAGCCAGTCTAATTACAAAATTTTAACTTTGTGTAAAATTAGTAGTGTGTAGTTGTCTAACTAAAAAGAATATTATATGTACAAAAAGAAAGTTTGCCATTTACTTGGAGTATATAAACCAAGATTAGAAATATTTTTCAAAAACATTTTAATCTTCAAACAATGTGCATTTCACCCTAAAAGTGAGTTTTAAATTGGCATCTTAATATTGGTCACACTAAAATATGAATTAAAGGAACATTAATTAGCTGTAAAGACAAATAACATTGTATATTTATCCCTGGCCAAACATTATTTTAGCTGAAAAACAATTTAGTGGGATGAAATGAGCCCTTTAAAGTAAATATCTGGCATGAATTTTCTCCATCATTTTGCAGGTTTTAGCAAATTATATTTTGTGTGGAATGATTATGGTTAAGTTCACGTTAAATGTGCATTTTGCTTATAAATGTATTTTTGTTGTTGTTGTTGTTATGGATGGTTATGTATACTCTAAATAGGTTTAGCTCAGGTGAGAAATGTTAGTAAAATAGGAATCATGGCTGAGAAACTCCTTTCCCATACACCATGTAACTTCATATAATTATGATGATTAACTTGTAAGGACTTTGAACATTTTCAGAAACTGATCACAGCAGAAAAGCCTTAGAGAGTACATTAGATGAAGGGATAGTATTCCAATGAGTCAAATATAACTAAATCCTTATATGTTGAATATTAATTTTAAATTTATTGTAATCAAACAATATAAATAAGTAAAGGAACTTATTATTTATTGGACAGAGACTAATAGATATAAATTGATCTAAAGTAAGAATATTGTTCACAGTAATATTGGTACCTAGCCATTGTAACAAGTCAGGTTGTAGATCACCAATAAATTGTTGCGAGTTTTTTGTTTTTTTTAAGTGGTGACTACTGTTCTTGGCCAATTAAAAGTATCAAAGGAATCATTGCTAAATATCTATAGAGTTCAAACAAATTATGTGTGTATATATGCATATATATATATATGTGTGTGTGTATATGTATGTATGTATATACACACACACAACAGATATTTCTGATCAACAATAGAAAAATTAAATTATAAGAGTAAAAGAGTTATTTTTATGTTTTTCTCAAAACAATGTTTCTCAATAAAATGTTAAAATTTTACAAAGTAAAAAAGGAAAAGTCAAGATATATCAGTGCCCTCCCAGTCTTTTTAACTTTTAATAAACTTGTATTCACTTTTTAAAACATTGTGCTGCTTATATTTAATAGCTTTTCACATGAAGTCAGCAATGTTTACCCTTATGTATGTTTGAAAACTTGGAAGCTCTAAAAGGTTATCACTTTTTAAATAATATTATAAATATATATAAAGGTCAATCTTGCAGTTAATTTGTTTATTTTAACTCTTGAATTTAATCATTGTAAAACACTTTCAGAAATGTAACATTTATAAATCTGTTTTACTTTCATTAGGGGGTATGGTTTTATTGAGTATGAAAGTTCCCAGTCAGCTCAAGATGCTGTGTCATCCATGAACCTGTTTGATCTAGGTGGCCAATATCTTAGAGTTGGAAGAGTAAGTGTTAGTTGGTAATTTTATGAAGATTTGGACAGTATGTAAAATGTAGTTGCTAATACAAAATTGGCAAGTTTCACGAGTAGAATAAGTGTTGTGTTTTGCATTTTCTTATGCTTTTGTTAAGTTTCCATCATAAGGTAGTATTTACTTTTGAGTTGCTCCAAAAGGTCACACACAGACAATATTTCCTGAAGATAATTTCTTCTCTTATTAGTATATTAATAAAATTGAAATAATATAGAAATTACTGTAAAAGCATATTTTTACATTGGTTTCATGTTTGAGGTTATTCCAAAGGAAGAACGAATTTTCTTGATGTGTTTGATAAAGTTGTGAAACTTGTCTGCACATTAGACACGTTTTTTTAATTTTTCAAGTTATGCATTGTAGATATGAATAAATACTTTAACCATGTTTTTTTTCATATACATTTTAAGTGGTTGTAGAAATAAAAACTCCTATTAGACTCATCATAAAGTTTTGCAGTAAAACAGTATTTCACTTTCTCTGTTGATTTGCCACATAAGTATACATTTATATTCTTGTTTTGTTTTTATATTTGATATAGTTTGAATAAATCTAATTTTATGAATAGAACCAATTGCTTATCCTAAAAGAACATTAAGAACTTATGGAATAATTTTTAATATACCTAAAAGGTTTGAATTGAACAAGATATTTTAATTAAAATTATAGATATTCTTATGAAAACCTAAACAAATCATAATAATACTTCATCAATTAGCACTCCACAGCTCATGCAAGCAAAAATAATAACAAACAAATGGGTAAGAGCTACCATCTTAACTTTTCAACTACTGAATTTGCATTGTATTTACTCTGATTTTTTATTTATTGTTTTCAAGTAATTTTCAAATTACTATTGATTTCATATGCTGTTTGCACATTAGCGAAAAGCATGTTTGTTTTAGTCAAAAACAAATTTCCTCTAAGTTCTATGGACTTACTTGGTGAATGAATTGCTAATGCCAACTAAATACCACCACCACATGATTTCCATTGTTTGTTTTCAAATATGCAGTAATCCCACTCTGATCTTCTGTAAATCAAATAAATTGATAACCAGATAATGAAAACACTTTTTACTCTCACTATAAGGGTAATGTTGTATTTAAAACAGGTTGTGATTACATTTATAAATGAATTAAGTAGTTAGTTAGACTATTTCTGTGCATTGTTTGAATAGGATAAGTATAAAATGATATTAAGTATAGATTTGAGTCATCACAATGTTTTGTACCTACCATACTAAAGAGTAAACTTAGAGTTGATGACAATTTTATTTGGCAAACATAATAAAAATAACTCATTTTTACAAACATTACAATTCAATAATACCACAGTATATCTTTTAAAAAGTAAAAATACTATAATTGTAAACAAAGAACCAAATAGCAACAAGATAACCATAGTATAGCTATTAAAAATCTAAAACACCATAATTTTGAACAAAGATCCAAACATCAACAATATACCTTTATTTAAGCCGTAAGCAATCTCCAGTAATGTGACTTCTTTGTTTTGTACTGTAAATATGTTCCTATGTCTAGGTAAACTCCTTAAAACCTGATTATGACAAAACCTTCTCCAAAGATTGTAAATTTTTACTCTGTTAACCCTTTTGCCACGGGCTCAGATAATTTATGGAATGATGTATCAGGAATTTTACTTGTGCAACAATACGTACTGTAACTCTGAGATTTCTAAATGTATCCTTTCAAAAATTGCTAAGATATTATTAAAGATCATAAGTCTCTGGTACACAAAGAATTGCATCAAGTGTTTTATTAGAAATATGTTATTTATCTATTGTAGTTACTTGCACTCTAGCTTGTAATAAATTGAGTGCAAGGTGATTTTCATTTTAAGTATAAAAGTACTTTTCTTCATCTTGTAGTTTTCATGTTTCATTTACATAATCTCTCGAACCTCCTAAATGAATATCAAAAGTTTTTTTTAAGATAAATGTTTATATTTTATTTTTCATTTTCTTTACCATATCACTAACTCTAGCTATTATCATCAATGTACAATGCAATGAAATGATTAGCTATGAAATAGAAAAAATACATACATCTTAATTGTTGGTACAATATCTTTAAAGATCTTCTTTTGGTTATATTCATAGACCTCTACTGTCACTAATGATAAATCCATATTACTTTTGTTGTCTTTTAACTTGTAACTATACACCACTAGTATACACCTACGTTCATACTTTAACATTAGTAAGCAGAACGCCTATTTTCAGATTTTTTTAAGTCATCATTTATACATTTTTGACATCACCAATACGAAAACATCTTTCTCATGAGTGTTATAACTTCCAAACAGTGAAAAATAAATGTTTGATAAATGTGTTATAAGAGGTGTGGGTGTCTTAAACAATACTGTCTTTAATGAAAACACATCTATAAAGTCTAGAGCAACGTTACTAAGGACCAGCTCGCTGTCACCTTAAACTTTTGCAGGCTGCTAAGTACAATGCAAGTACAATGAAAAACCATCAGAATTTACATACGAATATTCTTTCAGGATTTTATTTGTTTGTTTTTATGAAATCCCACAGACCAGCAATGTGGTTATAATGACCCAGCATCAGTCTGTGGACCAGTGGTTGAAAATGCTGATGGAGAGCATGTACATGCACACAAACATTATTAGAGTGTCTGGAAAAAAAAGACAAGGTGCAAATATTTACCTTGGCAACATTTAATTGGAATTCATATTGTTGTATTCATTTAGAAATAATCATTTATTTGCTGAGGACATAACTGTATTTCTTTAGACTTCGTCTTTTTTTACTTCAGAAAAACTGAATGAAAAGCTTTTCTGGAAGTAGACCAATCAAATAAAAACACTGGTGTCTGATATTTATTTTTGATACTATTGGCTGTTTTCTTCTAATTAATTTCTGGAAAAAAAATTGAGAGGATTTGGTCCCTTTATATCTCTACTTACTTATACAACATTAGATAATACAGTTATTAATTACTGAAAAAAAGTAGGTGAAAGGGGTAGTGGTTTGATACCGTTGGACCCCTTCCCTAAATCTGCTTCTGTTTACACAACATTAAAATATACAGTTATTAATTTCTGGTACAAAAATGGATGGGGTATCTGGACCCCCCCCCCCTGATCTGTGCCTGCATATTCAACATTAATAAGTACAATTATAAATTTGAAACATAATATATTGTAAGAAACACTTAATTTGCACTTGATTTAATGCTTAAGCAGCCAAAGAGTTGGTCGTTAGTACTATTAGTCAATTGTCTTTCTTCTAATCAGCACCTTATAAATAATGATAGTGGCAGATAGCCTTAGTATCTTTGCAGTACAGAAACAGGGTGAGTAAAATTAGTGGCAATGGTAATAAAACCCAAGACCCTTAAATCATGAAACATCCTCTACCATTATGTAGCTTTGTGCTTAACAACAAACAACCAGTAACATTTTGATTTCTTAGATGTTAAGAATAATCAAACCTTAATTTTGATTGGTTGATTATTTTCATGACAATCCAATTAATTGTAATTTCAATTAACTAATCATTGGAATAACCTGAAACAGTAATTCTTGTTAGCTGATAATTTTCATGAGATTTAATTGGGTAAGTGTAATTTTGATTAATTAATTAGTTTATGGGACATTAATTGATATAATCCCTGCAGGTAATCAGTTACATCATTAAATAGATTAAATCACCCAGCTCTAATCAATGAAAATTTTTGTTATTTTGATTGTATCTAAACAATAGTACATTTATGTGCCATCCTTGATATTTTTACATTTCTCCTTTGTTCTTCTTTTCAGGCTATAACTCCACCTAATGCTTTACAGACACCAAGCTCAAGTGGTGCTCTACCAACTGCAGCAGCTGTAGCAGCTGCAGCAGCAACTGCCAAGATACAGGCTATGGATGCTGTAGCTTCTAACACTTTGGTAGGATTAAATGTATTGCTCATCTTGTGTAGGTGATTGTAGAAATAAGTTTATTACAAATAAAATGTTGTATTCCTGTTTTATATCAGAATTGTAAGTATGAAGGTGTCGTGTTCCACTTAAAATTGGGTTTCTGGCTGAAAATATTTTCAACACTGAGGCTACATAGCTGATGACATAATATATTCTAATTTTTATAAGTAAGAATGTTACGAATAATATATTTAATTAGCTATATTTATTACTGGCTTTATTTTTTTGTGTTTGATCTAAGTAGGTAGCTTGCTCTGATTGGAAGTTAATATTTTTTTTAGGAAGGAAAACTTTGCTAACCAGAAAACAGAGAGAAGAAAAAATTAAATAATATTTATGCATTAACTGTGAAAATAAAGTACTAAAAGTAGAATATCATTATTCTTATAAAAAAGAAGCTATTGGAAAATATACTGATCTTAAAAATTATTTTTTGTCAAAAGCATGTCATATTTTAAGAACAATTGTTGTGGCTTGTAAATTATATTTTTCTTGTAACTCTTTTTACCATCAGTTGTGTCATAGGAGCTGCACCTTTCAAAAAGTTGACAGGTTTTTCACTTCTATAAAATTACTTTCCTTTTTCACAAACATGTATTTACATATTAATTCTTCTCACATTCTTCTTAATTTGTATGGTAACAAATTATAACAGTTTATATACATAATAAAATCTCCATGCCTGTAATTATTTTCCAGGCCCTTGGTCTAGGGAATGCTGTAACTCTCCCACAAGTAAATCCTATGGTAGCAGTTCCAGGACTGACCATTCCCCCACCAGCTACTATCCCCCCTCCTGGGTTAGCTATACCGTCGCCAGTCTCCCTCTCCAGCACTGGTCTGACCATTGGCCAGACAGCAGCAATACCTCCTCCTGGACTAGCTGTCCCAAACTCCATATCACCTGCTGTGGCTTCAACAATTCCTCCACCTGGTTTAGCCATTCCTACTGCAGTTGCCATTTCAGGATCTGGACTGACAGGTGCCCAGACTGCAACCATTCCTCCACCAGGACTGACCATTCCTACAATAGGTTCTCCTGGCCTCATAACAACTACAGTTTTACCTCAAGCTGTGATGGCAGCTAGTGCCCCAGGCTTAATAACAGGTAAGTCATATATGGGATATCTTGTACATTAGCCAAAATTACATATACCCTTGATATTGTACTTGCTAAAGTAATCAATCTTTATAACTTTTCACATTAAATATTTAAGTTTTTTTTTTTTTAACTATTTATGCACCAAAATGCTAATATGTACATTGATTCTTTATTTTTGCAGAGCACCTAATAGACAAGCTTCTTGTCTCTTTACCTTGGTATTCAACAAGAGATTGAATGAAATAATTTTTTTTTGTCTGCTCAATCTATTACTGCATCTGATGACTCAACAAATATTAACTATTATTAATTGATTATACTGTAAAACTTAATAATAAAATACTTAATGGTAATGTTATTGTTCAATCCCATGAAGAATGACTGATCTGATTGTTTTGTTTCCTTGTGTTAGTGATTTGAACATAAAGATGGCAAATATATATAAAGGCAGATGTTGTGACATCATCTGGGAACTACCTGTATATGAGTCAAAAATTTTAAGAAATTGAACAAAAATACATTAATAGTGTAGTTAATACAAGTCATTATTGATGGCTAGGTCCACAATATATTTTATGTGAGTAATTTAACAACATTTTTATGGTCAGTTTTTTATGCTAAATGTTATAATAGGCAAAAACATAAAATCACTTAAAGATGTAATATGCAGTAACCTATTGCACTATATTGAGCTTTAAGCCCATTGGTAGTGAATTTTTAAAAGAAAAATTTATAAGTTAAGGGTTACATTCTGTAACATACCACTTTTTTGAACTAATTTGTAGTTACTTTAATGTTCAGGTGTAACACCAGCTAAGACTATTCCACCACCAACAGTATTGACTACCCTACCCCCTGTAAAAACAGATATGGGACAGCATGGTATTAATGTCACTTCAGATATGCTCTCAGTCTCCACAAGCACCACTCAGATGACTCCTGCAGTCAGTGCTGTAACTACAACAGAAACTGAACAGAAACAAGAAGAGCTGGCCAAGAAGATTGCTGAAGAGCAAGAACCACAGACACTTCAACAGCAAGAAAACATGGTGCTTAAAGGTTCTAATGCTCGACACATCCTGATGCAAAAGCTGATGAAACGGCAAGAGGTATTCATGTTGTTTTTAAATGTAAAATACTATCTAGAGCTGTGCTGTATTTTTCATAACTAAAGATGCATTTTGTGTAATCAATGTCTCTCTTGAATTTGTCAGGCTGTGCATCTGTGGTTCAAGATGTTCTGCTACTGAACATGCACCACATTTTCAGTTATGGTTGGAACTTAACAGTGACAGTTGATCTTATTACTAGGTTCCAAAATCCAGTTGCTTCTGTCTGATTGCCTTCTCTCTCTTTAGTCAGTAGTTCAAAATTAGGGAAGATTATATCTGTATCCTAGGGATCTGTGCCTTTTCTGTTTAACCTGAATGCATATGAGGTGCCATTCAGGTTCAAAATTCTATTTCTCTGTCTGTTCAAGACATTTTATGTAGTTTCATGTGTAAAAATATATGTAATATTATCAGTTTCTCTGACTCTCGGGATGGGCTAATCAGAATTGATAGACATTCTGTAAATATTTACGTTTTTGTCTGTTATCACCCTTTTGTTATATTATAAAGAGAAGGTGCCCAAACCTCTTTTTATTTTGATACGTTATCCAACTTCAAAACAAATAATACATCATTTTTACGTTTGACTTGGTCTATGGCAGATTTTGTTAATTCTGTTTTATTGCAACAAAAAAAGTTAAAACTGTTCTGTATTTTGAGCAGTCGTTGCATCTGTGTAGTACTTAAAAAAGAAGTGTTGTGTATTTATGGCTTAGTTTTAGTTTAAAAAATTCAGAAGAATTTGTTTTATGATTTCGCAATTTTTTTTTCCTCAGCTGTAGTCAGTTGTGTTACATTTTATCACATTGTCATGGTTTCTTTACATTTTTATACAGTTTTGTTCTCAGTCATTTTTTTAAATACTGCGTCAGTTCATGTATGGAATTTGTACATCTTCTATTTGATATTTTAAAAGTTTAACAAATATATATGACAATAGTTTTTAATTTATCTAAGAATAAATTTCTATTTAGCATAATGTAGTGATAATAACTCAGTTATGTGTGAAGTTTGCTGATTTGAAAATTAGTTTGAACTGGTTAGAGCCAGTGTACAAAGTACAAATTTCTGCAAGACTTTCTGTGTGAATAATTCTTTTAATGTTCTACATCTCTATTATTCCTTTTTCAAGTCACTTGTTGTGGTGTTACGCAATATGGTTGGAGTTGAAGATCTTGATGATGAATTGGAGTCTGAAGTAACAGATGAGTGTGGAAGATTTGGAAATGTTAACAGAGTGATAATTTATCAAGAGAAACAGAGTGAAGAAGATGATGCTGACATTATTGTCAAAATCTTTGTTGAATTCTCTCAGTCATCAGGTACCGTGCATATTTTATGAGGAAATTCCATATGTGAATAAAGAAAAATGTTTAGTGAACAAGATAAATCACGATAGTCAGATATGTTCAAAAAACTTTTGCACAGTGTTTAATTCTGTACTTTAACATATCTTCTTATTCCAAAAATCTCATGAGTAATTAGGTACCTAATGATAGTGAGAAGCTTTGAAACCATCGATCTTATTGATATTGAGAACAGTAATTCGTACAATTATGTATTCTCATATTGTGTACTTTTCACTGTCTTTGTTTTTAACATAATAGTACATCATTTTTTTTTGTAGATTTTGCAACTTATGCCTACATCCTAATCTATTTGGACAAGTGTTGTATAACTATCAGTTGAAATACATCATTGATTGAAATGTTTAAACCATTTTTAAAAATACTAATTTTTCTACTACAAAGAGAGAAAAAAAGAAGCTTGAAATGCTAAATGTTTAGCATTATATTCATTCTCTACAGGTCAATAGGTATCATAATGCAGAAGAACATTTTCAAAACTAATTAAGATATTTGTAGGAAATATGAAATTCTTCAAAGCTTTATTATTGGTATACTGCAAACTGTCTGACTTATAAATGACTTGAATAAAATTGATAATAATTACAGTTCACTTATTTAATCTAGTTCACACCGTAATTGTCATTGCTCATGAAAATTGATGGTATATAGTTCTTAGTATCATAAAGCACAAACTTTAGATCAATATGACACTATTGTTTTCGAAACAGGCAGATGGAGTATGTAGCTATAATCTAATATTTATCTGGAGTCCACGCAGACCTCATACTATCATTTACCGTTACTATATATGCAGTTTGCCCTATAGCATATGAAACAATTTTCTAAACATTTATTTCAGTATATAGGCTGTTGTAGAAGCTAATTCATCAAAGTTGTTCAGTATTGTCTTATCTGTTTGCTTATAACATCATTGTGGTAAGCATATATGTGCATCTCATTCCTCAACAAGTATTCTCTGTGATGACTGGTTATAATGCCCTATTTTATAGAAACCCTGTTTCATAGTGGTTGTAAATAACCTGCTTATTGGATTTCCAATCCATAACCTACTATAAAGATACATTTGTGTCGGGGTCTGGTCGGACCCAAGTAGACCCACAATGTACACTTTGTTGTCTTTGAGTTGAATTTTGCAGTATTGTTGTAATCTCATCATACATTTGTGGATAATGACTTGAATACAGGAGTATAATAAAACTTTGGGATTTTTTTGATACGCTGTATATAAGGAATGGTTTAATACTACTATTTGTATACTAAGGAACAATGTAATTTTGTAATTTCTTGATTTGTCAACTTATTTCCTCTAGAATACATATATTTCTATGTTGTTCACATTGCATGCTAACCCTGAGAAAAATTGTAATGCAATTGGTTTTTGGAATTTCAATCCAGAGTGTACTATAATGGTAATTCTGTGCTGGGGTCTAGTTGGACCCCAGGTGTTCCACAATGTAACTTTTCAAAGGTGTGTTGATGAGGGTTAATGAATAATATTCAGCATTAAATTCTGTTTATTTTAATATTTTAAACCTAACTATTGAGTAAGAGTTAATTACTCTAAAAGATAAAAAAAACTAATTAAAACAGTATGGTTTTTACATGCTCTTTGTATAATACCAGTTTTACCTGGATGAGTTAGATGAAAACTAAGAATTTCCCACTGAAATTGATGATTTTTAATAATTCCATAGATTTCTCATCCTACTCCTGAGTTTTATTTAACTCTTTGTTACCTTTTTTCCACAGAGGCTATTAAAGCAAGGGATGCTCTGAATGGAAGGTACTTTGGAGGCCGCACAGTCAAGGCAGAACTCTATGACCAGATTTTGTATGAAGCAAATGATCTATCTGGTTGATAATTAATTATTTGTTATTGTTAATTTGGAAAAGTTGCTACATGAACTGTATAATTTTGTATGCATATTCTCAAGTTGAATATCCTTGTTTTCTTTACTAGTCTTTTTCAAAAAGAGTTCTCTCTAAAACTGCTAGTATTAAAAAAAACATTAATGGATATGTGGAACATGGTGCATTGCAGTATCACAAGAGTGTGACATTTTTAACTGTAAAAAAATTAAATCAAATCATTGATTTTTTTAAGCTTTTATGGGAGGATGTTTTTTGTTACTCTTTATTTCCTGATGCTAAAAAGTTTAGATATAAGAATTTCAGTAATTTTTTTCTTTCTGAAACCTTTGTATTAATTATTCAGGTAATAAATTTTTTATTTTTCAGGAAACATATTACTCGAATGATCATTGACTCACTTTTATAAGTCAAAAATTAAAAACCTTGGCTAGAATACAGAAACCTTTCTTATAACAAACATGTAACTCTAACATAAATATGCCAAGATAAAGTTCAACTGAACTCGAAGATATAAAAGTTACATATATGTAAAGAAAGAATACTTTATAACTTACAGGTATGTTTAGTTGATGCAGAAGTTTGAAATGGAGTATTATGATTCATCTCTGAAATGTAACAAACTTCACCTATCTGTATTTGTATTTAGAGACTGACTTCAAATGCTATAGGTGACATCTCCTGATAGGTTTGATACAGTTAAATACATTTCAGAATTATGATTTCATGTATAGCAATTTAATTTGTCAGTATATATTACAAAAACCTAACATTGAAAGAGTCAAGGAAAAAATACATAAAAAAAAACAGTTTCATAGTTCATTTATCATGATTGGAAATACTATATAAGGCTATTTTAGAGTAATTTCTGAAAAAAATTTAAGAATGACTAAGTATCGTATGGGGAGTCAGATCCCAATGTGGAAGCCCCATGCCAGTTTTGGTGAGAATTGGTCCAGTGATTCACAAGTTACAAGTGGACTTGCACACATATTTTTCAAGTAACGGTTTAGATAGTAAAGCTTGATTGGTAATATCTCATCATACTTGGGCTGTTTTAATATCTGTCTTTCGATCCTGGTCCAGTACAGGTTTCTGGTAAGATTGTTCTTTGCTACATTGTGCGTTATATATACCATAAGATACTCACTTGGTCTGATGTCCTCAAGTACTCAGCAAAAGTTTTTTTGCATTGTTATTCAATAAGAAAAGTCTAATTGAAGTGCTATCATAGACATTTTTTTACTGGAAACTAGTATTTGGAGAGTAAGAATTATGTGAATAAAATTTTGTTTAGATTCATTGTAATATGATATTACACCCCTTTAGCACTAAAATCTATATTTCACTTAATGGTATATGAAAGTGTAGTGAAGCTATGTTGGGTTAGCATTTGTAGGCCTTATAGTATTTTGTAACTTGTTGTTACAATGTATATCTTGATTTATGTTATTCTTTGCATATAAGGTGACTTAAAACATATTACCACAAGTACACATTGGTCTGTACCATTTAGTGCAGAATGGTTAACTTTTTTTGTTACATATTTGATCTAAAACTATACCACCCCAAGTTCTATGTTACGTTGTAACACTATTACACTATGGTCTAATATTACTGTACTAACAAATATCTTGTTCTGTTACATGTTACCGGTATTAATTTGATTATTGTTACTAAAAGTTAATTTTTTTGCTGTATTATTCTATAAATACCATTTCAGTATTATTCCATTTATTCTACTGATTTTATTACTTTATTATTCAATGTAACTGTAAGACATAAAATTTGACAAAAATTGTATAAAGTGATGATAGATACTGTTTATTTAATACTGATTTACATATTTGTTATCTGAAAGAAAAAATTCAATCACCCACTTTTATGACTATTTCAGTAATTTGATCAAATTATAATGAATATTTTAAACTTAATTATGCAATGTAGTAGTGCATTTGTGATTTCTATCAGGTGCTTTAAAACTATAACTGTGTTTTTAAATATTTTGAAGTTTTCGCCTATGTATCATTAAATGTATTCATAACAGACGTGGGGCCATCAAACACTATACGGCAGAACTCTCCGAATTGGTTATTATGAAGTTATCAAGCATTGCCAGTCGTGGCATTGGAAGTTACTAAAACCATCATAGTGAACGTTGTAGTTTTGGTGTTTATGCTTCAATAAATTTTATATTTGTGTTTTTAAATCTTTTAAAATTATTGCTTTTATAAGTTTAAATTTAGTTGAATTTAAAATTCTGTCCTGGCTGTCTTTGACACGTTTTGGTCATTACTGAAAATAAGTACATTGATATCTCTCCCAGGGACCGACTTAATAATAATTTTGTGCTTGTTATAGTTTTTATGCTATAACTTTTAATACAGTAAGCGTATCTTAACGAAATTTTGCTATTATCATTAAACATTACAAGGCTTTCTTTCGTATGCAAAATATCAGAATTTTTATTAGGTTTTAAGATTAAGTAGTTTTTCTCGTGCTTTTGTCTTTTCGAATGTTGACTATCCAACATTCCAAGTAATTTTGATTTTAAGATAAAAATACTTTTATGTATAAGAAAATTTTCAAATTTCACATGCGAAATCTTTACAACCTTCAGATAATTATCAAATTTTTTTTTTTAGAAAATCAATATTTTATCTCATTTTCACTGTTATACCTCTGTACAGGTTTGGTCGATTTGACCAATCTCGTAACCACCATAAAAAATTAGGAAATAGATATAAATTATGCTTTTTTCGTTCTAGAATAACTGCAAATTATAACACGAAAATACACGTTTATTATAAATAGCTTAAATCTCATAACATTATACATCTATATACATATTTATTATTTATATTTTATTGACCTTTCTGCCGTATTTGACTAACGTTACAGAAGTTGCAAATACGCGGCGCACGTGGACTCATATTACCGTTTCCAAAAGTACAAAACTCGCCTTTACAAAGTGACCTGTCTTGGCTGTGTTCTAGTAACCAGTTTTGTAAAACAGTCACATTTCGGTTCTAATACACTATATAAGTATATACATTATTACTATTTACAAATAAGTTATTAAATATCGTTTTTTTTTTCTTAGAAAAGTAAATGAAGTATAGAATACAATTATCTCTTCTGGTTACCAACTTTGTACTTGTTTGCTGCTTGCTGTAAGTTGTTAAGCCTTATCAAATTTCGCACGTAGAGGATGTAAACAAATTTTGAGGTTTAATATATGCATTTTTAAATAAAAAATCATAAATTACTATATTAATACCACAGAATTTCACTATAATTTGTGAAGCTTAGTAACAGCTGTATTTGGATCTAAAAATATATGATATTCCAAGGTCACTAATGTTTTACCTTACCGCTTGTAATCTAGCATGAAAAGAAAGGGTTTCCCGCGCTAATACTTCACAAAGGCTGAGAAAGCCACTAGGGCGACATTCTGAGCTTTCGATTGGTTTTACACACCTCGGGCGAAATAGGTGTACGAGAGCAAGTATTTTCAAAGAATGGAAGAGGTGTGCAGGGCCACCTTGGTTGATTCAATAAATATATTAATATCTCAGAAAATAGAAAAGACAGGAGGTTCTTAATTTAGATTCTACCTTGTCATCGGTAATTTGAGTATCTAATTCGTAAGAAACTGTATACTGTTACGTCTCCGTTTGTTAATTAACTTTCCGTAACTTCGTTCCGACGAAACTTAAGCGACACAAGTCCTTTCTTAATAAAACTGATTTATTCTTTCCGAATATAACTTTACCGATACACTTATTTCAATATTCGCGCTAAAACAAACACTATAACGACGAACGTTAACTTCAACAATACCTCGTGACTGCAATTCAATTACTCACTATCTACTCACACATTACCTTCATGCCGTCACGTCTTGACCGTCTTATATATAAAAGAATACCGAAGTCT